TGGTAAGAAGGTGGTACTGGACCTTCGTGTACTCACATATCCATGTCCCAACACCTTGTTACCTTCTGGGTATGTGGAAGCAAGGATACATAATAGGTCGTTGAAGCTAGTGTCGGACCACCCATGGCGAGCCTTCAGCATCAGCATCTGGAGGTTAAAACACAGCGCCGTCTACTCCTTCGGACAGTCCTTATAGAGGGGATCAATTGTCACCTGCTTCATCTCTCTGAAATTGTCTAGCCAACTCGGGGACCCAAACAGAACGTCGTCGTGGTCGAGATGGTTAGCAAGTTCCTCAAAAAGCTTCGCATCCTCGGGCTCACCATCCCAACCGCCGTTGTCGTCTACCATGTCTTGGAGCAGATCATCCATCATGATATAATCACGATTTGCATTGTCGCCAGCAGTAGTGCCGTGCCTGACGGCTGCTGCTGCTGCTGAAGAGGGTTGTTGTCCTCCATCATGTTCTGCATTGACCGCTGCCGTCGATGTCGTCGACGAGTTTCCTCCAGATGCACCAGCGGCACTCGGATCTGCTTCGCCTTGAAACTTTCGGCCGGTGTAATCCTTGACAAAACTATACTGCATTAAGTGAGATTGCACCACGTTATCTTCCTGGGCAAGCTTGTTCTTGTAGCTATTGCACGAATAAATGATGCGCTCCCGATTCAGACTCAGACGATGCTTTTTTACAGTGGCAACAAACTTTCTCACATGATCCAGGTAAGACAGATCCAGCCTCGATATCTTGTACATCCATTCCCTGCCCATGACCGCGAACCTAGCTTGTACACACACAACGAAAATGGCATATAATAAGCAAAACAGTATGGAAAAAATGCGGCCGGGTAGTTATAGATCTAATTTCTCTCTCCTCTATATAGATCTAAATCTAAATCTTGAGAAAAACCACCCAAATCATAGAAAAAGAGAGAAGAATGAGGATTAGAGAGAGAATCAACCTGTTGTGGTGCCCTCTTCAACAAATCTCTCCTGCACGTCAGCGTACAGTTCCTCTTCGTCCAACGCAAGCGGCGTCGTTTGTTCGATGGTTGGAGTCCAAGCCGAGTTGCGTCGTTTCTTCGATGGTTGTCCGAGCCAAAATCATTTTCCACATGAGGCTGTGTTCGCGAATTTCGGGAATTTGGTTACTGTAGCACTTTCGTTTTTATTTAATAATTAGTGTTTAATCATGGACTAATTAGGCTTAAAACGTTCGTCTCGTAATTTTCAACCAAACTGAGCAATTAGTTTTTTTTCGTCTACATTTAATGCTCCATACACATATCGCAAAATTCGATGTGATGACTACTGCAACACTTTTTGGAAAACTTTTTGAACTAAACAAGCCCTGAGAAACGATGTCTTCCTCTTCTCTTTCTTCGTTAACTAAGATGTCACATCAGCATTTTTGCGTTCGTAGTGCACTTAATTTTATGAAAACTGCTCCTAGTTTCAGGATGAGACTGCCCTCATGTACAGAACAGACAAGCATTTCTCTGCGGCGTTTTCTTTTGGGTAATGTACGGAACGACGTTGAAGAGGCGCGTACCAAAAACAACCCAAAAAATTGCAACCGTATGAGAGTGGAATATAAAGCCAGTCTCAGTGAAGTTTCTTGGCTATGTTTCAAGACTCCCTAACGTTGAAAATAATGAGTTTCATCCTCATAAAACTTATTTCATCCTATAAAACTATTTTCATCTCTCTTCGTTTAAACTGTACCACCGGCTTATTTAATACCCACTGGTCTCCAGAGGACCACGCTATAATAAGGAGGCAGGCAGTAACACGTGAATAGTGTACCCACTTACTGCAATCCTGCAGGCATGTGCGGACCACGCACGTACTACAATTAATAATGCAAATTGTGAGGCGACGAGTTAGACTGTCTCCAATGGCGTAAGCAAACTATGACCCAAACCTAAAATACATCGTTCACAGTGTTTTGCGTCCCAGAACCGCGCTCCAACGGAGGACGCATCCCAACACCCATTTTGCATACCAGCACACGACGGAAGGCAAAGAAGGGTGGTCTCTCTCCACAACGCAAAACACTGTAGGTGTCGGGTGGAGCGAACGACGACGGTGAGGCGCGCCTACACCTGGAAGCTCCGCGCGGAGGAGGTTGCGTCCGCACCGTCGGTGGAGGTTGCCCCTGCTGTCCGGTCCACACTCGCCCCTGCTCGCCGGTCCGTGCCGCCGGGGCTGGCCTGGATCTCGCCAGTCCGCGCCGCATGCAGGGAGGCGGAGTCGACTGTGGGAGGTGCTCCCGCCGAGGCAGGCTGCGCCAACGCCCGGCGAGCAGCCTCGAGGTAGGGGGAGGGGGAGCGCTCGTCCTCGTCGTCAGTGAGGGAGATCTCATCCCATCGCATGGATTTGGACCTACCGACGGAGGGGAAGAAGGGGGCGGCATCAGGGGAGAGAGGGGCCGGCTCCGGTTGCGGCGGAGCACCGCAGGATCCCATGAGCGACGACCCGGTGGCACGTCGCGCCCCGGACGACCCGCCGACACCGGGGGCGCACTGCAGCAGCGCTGCCCACGCGTCGGCCGGCGACTGCGCCAAGCGCTCCAGCTGAGGAAGGGAGGAGCACGGCGGAGGAGGAGGTGGGGCCGCGGACTCCGGCGCCGGCGCTGTTTGGCCTTGGCGGCATCCTTGGATTTGGCCCCCTTCATGGCGGATTCGAGCGGCCACACGGAGCGCAGCAGTCAGATCCGCGCGGGGCGGAGCGAATCCCGCTCGCGGCCGGGCGAAGCTGGGACAAATCGAGGGCGAGTTGCCTCTGGCGGCCCGCGGGGATGGGGAGGGACGGGAGGGGAAAGTGGGGAAGGGAAGCGACGGACGCTGCAGGAAGGCGGGGGTGGGGGGGGGCAGGCACTGGGGATCTGTTGGAGAAGGCCGAGATTTGCGTCCGCGACGCTTTCACTGTAGATGACCTATACCGTGAATGAGTATCGTGTTTGGGTCGTTTTTGTTGGAGACGGTCTTAGGACTTGCTAACTTATGACGCATGACGCATGTAGCGATGCACAAGAGGTCAGAGGGTGCATTGCATTTGCATGTAACTTATCATTGCCCGTTTGGTTGATCAAGTGTGGACTTTTTCAGCTTATTTGAGCTTATTCTCTCTCACAGAATACTGTTAAATCATTCGAAAACTGATCAGCCGCCTGTCCTAATAAATTTCCTAGCAGCTGCTGGAGGAATAAATTCCGACCTGGAACCGCCACCGAACCGTACGTGCCAGTAGGTAGCACCTGTAGCACCCAAAGACTGACTTTGGTGTGGCAGTAGTTTGACAACTGCTCACAGCTGTGTGTGAACATACCAGACTTGTGAGATGTCCATCAGTGCCACCAGCGCCAGCAACCATGCATATTTATGTTGGAAATAAAGATACGTACTATGAATGATTAGAGATAATTAGAGATGAAAATTAACTTACTCTAGAGAATATATAGTTGACCCAGCCTGTCCTATTTTCTGGAAAGACTCGCCACAGTCATCATTTTCTAATTCTAAAATATATAAGCGGCCAGTTGCTGAAGTCAGTGATAGTACCATCGTAGCGTGAACTACAGGGAAAGAAATCGCAAGTTCGAGATTATGAGAAGAATTTTTCATTTATGTGATAAAGGCCGGAGAGTGGACCAATTTGTGTGAGGAAGTGGACAATGCAATGACCTGATTCTAGTCATTAAAATGTTTAAACCAGAAATACCATGTCATACCTTGCTGACGAAATTAATCGACATATTAATTACTAAGTAATAATTTATCATACTAAAAAACACGGACAAGTTTGCGAAATTAATCTAGCTTGCCATTATAATTACTAAGTAATAATTTATCATACTAAAAATCCATAATTTATTTACTAATAACAAAGATTAAAAAACACTGAAAGCTTGTCCAGCATATATATATTTTTAGCCGAGTTTATTCAGCATCGGTGAAGGATATTTCCTTTAAGGTGGATATCTTTGTCCAAGTCGTCGCAACCCTAACATCGCTCGTCCATGGACCCATATCTCCAATCTAGAGGTATCCACCAAAGTAAAGGCATCACTAGCGACGAAGCCAGCATCTCGTCATGCACTCATGCATGTGTGCGCTGCTGGCGCGCGGCTGACAATTAATATATATTGTCCCTGTAGACCAGGGCCTTGTTTAGTTGACGATTTTTTTTGAAAATGATACTGTAGTACTTGTCGTTGTTATTTGGTAATTAGTGTCCAATCATAGTCTAATTAGGCTTAAAAGATTCGTCTCGTGAATTTCGTTTAAACTGCGTAATTAGTTTTATTTTTTATTTATATTTAATGCTTCACGCATGCGTCCAAAGATTTGATGTGACGATAAATCTTGAAAAATTTTGCAAAATTTTAGGAATTAAACAGCTACTAGAGATAAAACCTGTTGAGTGACGAAGCCGCCCGGGTAGCAGGTAGCAGCTTAGGTTGGTTAACGTGTTCATACCTCGAATAACGAAGCCAGCTAGCATGTCATATATTAATTGGTTAACGTGTTCATACCTCGAATAACGAAGCAGCTTACTATAATGGATTGGGCCACTCTCTCTATATTAATTCAGATCTGAGAAATCCGGTAGTGCAGGTGAAGGATCGGAGCACTCCATGCGAGAGCGAGCAAATTAAAGATGCCCCGTTCGGCTTATCTTATAATCCGCACTATTTAGTTTGTTTTTTCAGCTGGAACAATATTTTTCTCTCACAACAATTCAGCTAAAACAGTATTTTTCAGCCAATTCAGCTAAGTTTCAGCAAGCCCAACGGGCCTAAGTGAGTCCAGTCGACCATGCCCTCGAGGTCTCATCACAGACTGCCAAATCCTGTTTAACTATGCAATTCCGCGCTATATATGTTCCTAGGATCCATCAGCCACTATCCGTCAGTTGCTAGCTACACACCACAAGCACAGAGCTATAGTAGCGAGCGCGCACACACAGAGAGAGAAAGAGAGAGAGAGCACGCCACCATGGCAGACATGGCGCTTGGTTTGACCAAGAAAGCAGTGGAGGGGACTGTGAGCAGGGTCCTGGCGGCGATCGATGAAGACACGAAGCTGAAGTCGGCGGTGAAGCAAGACCTGCGGTTCATCGTCGGCGAGTTCCAGATGATGGAATCCTTTCTCGAGATGGCCAACGACAACAAGGAGCGTACAAGCAACAAGGTGGTGAACACGTGGGTGCGGCAGCTCCGTGAGCTGGCCTTCGACGTGGAAGACTGCGTTGAGTTTGTCATCCACCTGGACACCACCTCGGCCCGGGTCTGGTGGTCCTGGGTGTGGGGCATCGTGCCGTTGCCGTCCTGCATGACCCGGCTTGGGTCGAAGACCTGCACCAGGCATTTGCTCAGTTGAAGCAGCTCAACGCCAGGGTGGACGAGGTGAGCCAGAGGAACACCCGCTACAAACTCTTGGGCGGTGATGACTCCGGCTCCTCGACCACTCCGTCTCCGGTACCGCCGGAGCAGCTCGAAGCCGATGCTTTCGCCTCAACGGTCGACATCCTAAGAGACCTGTGGGAGGCCAACGCGAAGCAAAGCTCGTCGCTCAAGTGCAACCTCAAATATTTGGTGGACGATGGACGGTGTAACGAGCTCAGAGTGATCTCAGTGTGGAGAGCTGCAGGAGTAGATGTTGAGGCCGCGCACATTCTCAACGCAGCTTACCTTGATCCAGAAATCTGCAAAGAATTCAAAGCCCGTGCCAGGGTGAAGCTGATGCATCCTTTTAATATCCAACAGTTTCTCAAGAGCTTGCTGAATCAGCTCTACGTGACCTCGCAACAGCAGGACACACTCTCGTCAGCTCTACCTGACCTCCTCCGCACCAACGGAGACAGTGTCATTCAGGACAAGCTCAGGCAACTATTAAGCAAGCACAAGTACCTCGTTATCCTAGAAGATTTATCCTCCGCGGTGGATTGGGATCTCATCAGGCTCTGTCTACCGGACCTTGGCAATGGCAGCCGGATCGTCATATCGACGCAGCAAGTAGGGATTGCACTTTCGTGCACGGGGGAGCCATATCGAGTATTGCAGCTTGCACTACTCCCCAATAATGATCGATACATTTATGCATTTTACAAGGTAATTAACTCCACCTCTTATTAGGCCAGGAGTATTATATATTGCCGCCTTCCATAAAGTTAGTTTCTCAACTTTATCAAGCAATTCCTGTACTTAGTGTTTACTGCTCCATTAACCCGTGCTCTCGCACGGGCTAAAATCTCTGGAGACAAGCATTAGTCATTCTTATATTATATAATACTTCTAACAAATAAAAATTACTTATATTAAATTGTGCATTTTTAATTTTCCTTATTTTCTAACATAATAGGCATAATAGATACTCTGGCTTCTATATATTTAGTTATGATAGAATTATCAATTGATGATCAATGTAATTTTTCATATATATATCCATGATTTTTTCCCATTTCCATGGCACCTCTATGTATCTTCGATAATCATTTAGTTAAAACCTTAATTAGCTTAGACTATGGCAGCTCCTGTTGTAGCCTATATCTTGTGATGCCATGAATCCAAATTTTTTATTTTCAAATATTAGTTAGTGTTATTGATTGCTACAGCTTTAAGTCCTCAAGTTAAGTTGAAACTTTTATGTTTATTGTATCTTTTATTAACTCTCTTTTTGTACTTTTTAAAACGAATAAATTACACTAGCGATCCCTAAGCTATTGCACGATTCTCATCTAGGTCCCAAAACATAAAATTGTATATCTAGGTCCCCAAACTATTTAAGTATACCATCCCTGTCCAAAACAGTAATATCACGGTCCATTAGCCGACGTGGCACTCCAGCGTGGAATCGACGTGTGGATCCATAGCTCATAATTATAGGGACGGTTCCTTAACTAACATGTGATTCTCATGTAGGTCCCAAACTATAAAATTAGTCGTCTGGGTCCCTAATCTACCAAAGTACTACAATCCCAGTCCAAAGCAACCTCTAGTTACGTATTTAGTTAAAACATAGTGCTTAAAATTAAATTACAAATATTGATGTGACATAATGCTTTAGTTAAATTGTATACACTTATTTACAATAATAACATGAATTTTACTATCATAGACTATTAATATAACCTAAAGTGAATCACCGCTTATGTCATTACTATCACTACGAGAACGCATCTCTTCTTCTTAATCGCTTGCCTTTATTCGGCAAAGGCATAAAACCAGTTTAAAAAGGCTTTGCCGAGCAACCGCAAAGCCACGTGGCGCTTCGGCAAGAGCGGTCGGCAAAGCCTGGGTCGGCAAAGGCGGATTTGCCGACCGCCACGTGGCACACAATCGGCAAAGCCTTTGCCAAGCCGCCACGCCTTGCGATCGGCATATAGTTAACGTGGCGCCGTCAACACTGACGGCGGGCTTTGCCGATCTTTGGTTCCTCGGCGATCGGCAAAGAATTTTTTTTCAAAAATTGTTTGCCGACCGCCGCCAAACTTCGGCGATCGGCAAAGAAAGAAAATATTTTTTTTAAATGTTCTTTTTGCCGATTGCTTTGAGTTGATCGGCAAAGGTTTGACCTCTTTTGCCGATCGCCTCCCATTGATCGGCAAAGACTACATCTGGGGTTTTTTTTGCCCACTAAGCAATTCGGCAAATCTGGAATTTTTTTTTGCTTTTGTTTTCTGTTTTCTCGCATCAAAACCACGCAAAATCACAAATTATAATCCAATTTCACGGAAGCACCGGTAGCACCATTTATATCACAATTTCATCACATTTGTCGCCAACATCACCACATATATCACAATAACGCACAACATCACATATATCTCACATATATGTCACAATAACAACCACACAAGTGCATTACAACCATCACATGAAGTCCAACACGTCCGAACACCACAAGTCGGCGTCCATCACACCTAAGTTCAACATAACAAGTCTAGGTCCATAACGAAGAAAAGAAATACATGACAACAACTTCGACGATACGGTGGATACATGATAATGAGAATCGACAAATACCTAGCTCGTCGCGCCGTCCCTGGTCTCGTCGTTCGCTCGCCCCAGAGCCCCTGTGGTTTGCCCACGGAAACCCCTTGGACCAAGCGAGGCGCTGGCGTCTTCGCCACCCTCCTCGCGCAAGACCGACGGCCACGAAGTACGTCGGAGGAGGGCCACGCGGAGGTGGATACGGTGGATAGGGTGTGGTGGTGGATACGACATCATCGATGGCGGGACCTCCACGGAGACGGGTTCGAAACCGCCGATCGTATTCGCACAAGTTAAACGCCAAGTGATGTCATTAGTATCTGCGGCATGGACGCACAAGTTAAAGCAAGAGTCAATATACTCACCGGGGTCCCTCCGGGGAGCGGCGGGAGCGAGCAGGGGAAAAAAACTCGGAGGAGGAGGCGGTGGAGCGAACATTGGAAGAGGAGGCGGTGTAGACGCCCCGGGCGTCTGCATGGACCGGAAGAAGCTGGCCATGTTTCGCATCGAGTGTTGTAGTGCTGCTGCGAGCTTTCTTTGGTAAGCCATCTGTTGCGCCATCATGCTGCGTGCAACGTGGCGATCCTCTCCTCCATCTTGGCCTCCATCGGGCTGCAATATTACATCCGCGCAGTGTTGATTGTATGTACTGGCGAAACGCAGTGAACGACGAGCGAAACGGCACTTACCGTGGACGCCGACCGCCGCCGGGCGCTACGGGGATGTCATTTGGAGCTCGTGGGCGTGGATCGAACTCAGGTCGCCAGAGGAACACTGGGGACGGGTCGAGGGCGCTGTGGGCCATGTAGTAGCGGCCGTCTTTGCTTCCTGGTCCCAACCTCTGCAGGAGGTCTGCGTGTCTAGGGGCTCATTTGTGGGGTCGAACGTCTCCCCGAAGCGTTGGCGAGCCGCGACGGTGTACTCGGTGGCCTTCTCGTGGGGCGGTGGGGTTGGTGTACGATCGGGCCCGTCCTCCGGGTTGTAGACGTTGTTCGGATCCGTCGCCTTGCCCTTGTGAGAGAGGAGGTGCGCGGTGTACTCGTTGATTTCACGCCCACCGTGCGTCTGCGTCGCATTGAAAACACAAACATGGTTACAAGTATTGACAATTGAGCGCAAGGATTAATACATGAACGGACGCATACCCATCTTGTCGCGAATCGGGAGGAGGGGCTGATTCCCTTGGTGGTGTGACACCCTCGCATCTGCTGGCTGGCGGCCTGACGGTCGGTGGCGCCTCATCCGCGGCGCCACATGCGCACAATCTCCGTCCAAAGCATTCCTCGTGGTTGTCGCGCCACCACGACGGACACACCGCATGACATCAAGTATTTGACATGCGAGAAGATTAGTGTAATGTTTCTTTGAAGGAATCGAGCGAATGTTGTCATACTTAATTACACCTTTCGATTGCGCGCTTTGGTGAGGTCGGCCTCCCTCGAGTTCATTCTCTAGCGGATTTGGGGCTTCTTGATGTTCTCTCCAAGCACATTGGCGTGGAAGTCGCAGATGGCCTGTATGCGCGCCTCATGGTACAGGTCCTTGAGACGATCTTTGCAGACCGCCTCCTGCACTCGCGCCGCCTGGGCCGCTTTACCCTCCTCGCACGTGAAGAAGTCCTGCACATAGACACATCATCTAGCATTTCCTTTTTGCAAGAAGTCCGACGAATGCGTACTATTTAGCAATGCGGTGCGATGAAAGACTCACCCAAAACTCCCTCTTTATCTTTGCCGCGATGGTCTCGCCACCCTCCTCGACGAGGTAGAAGTGGGACCACTTGGTGGGCACCTTCATCTCGCCGTTGACGTTGACAAGGCCAGGGTAGTACTCCTTAATCAGGAGGCCCTAGATGCCATTGATATGGCGTGCTTGACCTGCTCCACTCACAATCTTCCAGGAACTGCACGAGTCATTAAGAACAATTGTTAGTCTTTAGTTCAATTTTTGACATGTCATATGAACAAGTAGTGAAATCAATAATGGTTACTTACGTCTGGCCCACGGGTGTGATCACCGGTATTTGGTGGAATTGCGGCCGCACCCTAGGAAGCTCGTGGGCCCGCTTGAGTACACCTTAGCCACGCCGACGAAGTCGGCCGTCTCGCTGGGTGTAGGCGCGTCGTCGCCGTCGTCGTCGTCGTCATCGTCGTCGTCGCCGCGTAAATCGCCGCTTGCGCCGTCGTCGTAAATCCAGCGACGTCGTCCCCCCCTGCGAGGGCGAGAATGACCTCTGAGTGCGCTGGCGACGTCCATTTGGGGGCTAGGACCCCCTCTTTGGACGACCAGCGCACCAACACCTCCTCCTCCTCCTCGTCGTCGTCGTCGGCGGTCTCCTGTGGGGGACACTGATACGCTTGAAGCGTCTTTGCTCGATCGATTGCATTGCCGCCGCCGTCACTTTGGCATTTTGCCGAGTGCACCGCAATGACAAAGAACAAAGCTGTTAGCATAAATAAATGACAAGTACTTGTAAAGGAACATAATAATAACAATATAGTATTACATGGCCTCGTAATTATCTCTCCATGAACAGCAATATCTCTACCAAGGCGTGGAGTCGTCATCTCTATCACTATCGTCGTCATCGCTATCAATATTGTCGAGCTCCCTTAAGTCATCACCATCATCATCATCCTCATCGTCTCCATAGTCATCATCATGTACCTCCTCTGGACAACTCCATCATATTTGCATCCGCCATCGCTCAAGCATTCTTAAGTCCACGGCATCCTGCACCTCCTCACCCTCGTCCTCATCGATTTCGTTGTCTACTTCCATGCCCATGAGCGAACCAATGTCGATCTCCAAGGTACCTTCTAGCCCCTCAAGGTTGATAGAACTCATCGGTGCTTGGGTCAAAGTTATGTCGTTGTCGTTTGGGAGAGGCACTTTGCCGTCTTGGCGACACCAAATGCACAAGGCTCCAACCCTCAAGCTTCTCGTCTTTTGGCACGCCCATGGGAGGTAATAAACTTGCGTGGCGTCTTGGTTGGCCACAATGTAGACATCGTCTCCTTTATAGTTGGAGTCTGTCGAATCTCGACTTGACCTATCGTAAGGTCTTTCCTCGTGATATCGAGGATCGAACCAATGGCATTTGAATACCACCGCGCGCTAAAGTCCGGCACCCTTAAAGTTGAGCTCGTATATCTCTTCGACTATCTTTGTAGTAGTCCTTCCCATCGCGTCTTGCGGGCGCACGAACTCCATGACACATGGTTTTTAGGTTGGGTCGACTCTCCTCGTAGCTTCTCGTGAAAGCGATAGCCATTCACATCATAAGCGGTGAATGACTTCACCCTACACGGGAGAAGCCACGGCCCACTGTTTCAATTCATCGCTCATTTACGCATCCGTTCGAGAGCTGTATGTCGGCAGGGACGGCGGAGGGCTCTTAACTCTGCGGAATGGGGCGGTGACTTGAACGCTTTCGTGAAGTGCTTTACATCTAGCCTGAATTCATGGTTCTCGGCGAGGAATTGGCGATGCTTGTCGAAAGAAGAAAACTTGCCGCCCTTGGCCACCAGTGAACATCACATCCGCCTTGCATGTCGGGCAAGGGAACTTCCGTGAACACACCACCATTGAATAAGCCATACGCCAGAAGTCATGCATTGAATCTGGTACCACACATGCATTCGAAGTTCCTCTTCGTGAGTCCGATCGTGCGTGAGTACCCCTCTTCCCAAGCAAGTTCCAATTCATCCCCACCGTTGCATGAACACACCCATATTGTCGCCGGGTGTCCGGGTATTATCGGCGTCAAGAGCACGTTCTTAGGTTCAAACATGACGCGTCGGGGGAGATTGAGGGGATCACAAACACGGCCAGCAAGTGTATCGGGGCCGCCATCATTCCAAGCGAGTTGAACCCATCATTGCCGGCTTACTGGCGTACATTACGAGCCTCCATAGCCTTGACAGATTCATGTTATCGAAGTGCTTCCATGCATCACCGTCGTCGCGGGTGTACCATCTTGTCGAGGATGGTATCTTTTGCCATTCTTGTGCCACGTCATCATTTCGTGGACTCCTCCGTCATATCTGACCGTTGCAGCCTCGGTAGGAAAGGAAGGTGCCGACGACCTTCTCGGGGACCTTAGGCATTTCATGCTGCCATCGAGCCTTCTACCAACACGAACCTAGAGGCATCGCGCCGGACAGGTTTTGCTTCCTCGAGGTCTCCTGAGCAGGGACGCACCCCTCCGGACAAGCATGGATCCCCTCATACGGCATCTTAAGTGCACAAAGGAGCTTCTGTGTAGCGTAGGTGTTCGTCGGCAGGACATGATCTGCCGGAAGCAGTCCCCCAACAATGCTCAACACGAGATCGAAGCCGTCTCGACTAATGCCCAGCTGCGACTTCAACCCTATCAGGCGTGAGGCGGCATCCGATTCGCGTAAGCTTTGTCTTCTCGTGAAGGGGCTTCGTGCCGACTCCATCATGTCGTAGAAGGCCTTCGCGGTTTCCTCCGGATCTTCCTCCACATCCATTCCTTCGCCAAACCGTGCTTCGTGGAAGTTCCGCCATCATATCGCCATCCGGCATCGCCATCATACTCCTCAAGGACGGGTCGCACCACCTCGTCCCTAATAGGATGGTATTCACCATGGTGGCGCCTAACGGTATAGTTTGGAACGAACCCGTGCTTGAACAGATCTCTCAACACCGAGCCTTTACTTTCTTCTTCTTGTTTCACTTTTCGCTGCAGGGACACGACATCCGAATCGACCCTTTAGCGGTGGGCCAAATGCATGCTCCAGAACTCGGTCGTCCCCCGATCCATTCGTGGCTCTTACTTGTGAAGCCCGAGTACATCCACTCACGGTCACCCATGCTCGTCATGCGGCAATGTTAACATGTGATAAAACCAGCAAGTGCATCTACAACGCGCTCCTACCATCTAATAGGTGAAGGATAGGTCCTAATCCCACCCGAGCATGCTTGAGACGAGGTTAGCTTCCATGCTCGCGCTCCGTCCGAGGCAGAATTGATTTGACACCTCCCATTGTTCTCCCGATATACGCCCCGCGGGAGAGTGTGTATCCAGAGAACAACGGGAGGTCTGCCGAAACTCCGACTTCGGACGGGAGCGGAACATGGGAGCTAACCTCGTCTGCGCATCCTCGGGCTGACCAAATAACGTGGGCAATCCGAAACGGATACGGTTATACATATGCGAAGAACGCATACTTCCAACCGTATCCGTTTGGACGGGAGACGCCTAACCGGGTAACGCGACCTATGACTACATGTGGCGGAAAGAGGGGTCATACCGCAGTGCCGGTGAAGAAAGGCTAGCGCGGCGCTGCCGCAGTCGTGCTCCTTCCGGCTAGCCTCCAATGGGAGCCTCTCGAAAAAAAAAAAACAATTAGTGAGAACGAAAAATTTCGGCAGCACCTCCCCTGTACGGGAAGGTTACCAAACCTGCAAGAAAAGACGGCACGATGGCCGACAAACACATATACATGTCACGGCACGATGGCCGACAACCACAAATGTATTTCCAATCCATGCAGAAGAATATAAGCAGGTATTAACAAAGTAAACTACTACTACTAGTAGTACTACTACCTCGTCGTCACGGACGGCGTCACCGGCGCGTGGCGATGGAAGCGCCTTGAGGAGGGCGGAGGGGGGCGGGGCGGCAGCGAGGGCAGCGAGGCGGCGAGGCGGCGGCAAGGGCGAGGCGAGGCGGCGCGAGGCAAGGATGGGCGAGGCAGCGGCAGGAGCGGCGGACGGAGGCGGCGGACAGCGAACGGCGCCGGACGAAGGACGCGGGAGCACGCCGGATCGGGCACGCCGGACGCCGGCGGGCGCTGACGGCGGGCAGGGCCGGGGCGAGGCCTGCGGGCACGGCGGCGCCGAGCACACGCGAGCAGGCCTGTGAGGCGGATCAAGGGCGGGGCGAGGCGGGTGGGGGCTCTGGGCAGGGGCCCATGAGGGGGCGCCCTGTGGGAGGGGGCCAACAGGGGGGGCGCACGGGAGGGAGAACATGGGGGAGCCGGGAGGATGTGAGGGGAGGCCGGCCACGGGAGGACCACACAAGGCCAGAGGAGCCAGCACACATGGGAGGGGGCGCAGCATGGGAGGGACCAACATGGGGGGGCCTGGGGGAGAGAGCACACATGGGAGGCGCCGCGCATGGGGGGGGACCAACATGGGGGGGCGGACCAACATGGGGGCCACGGGGAGGGCCAAGGCCACATGGGAGGGGGCGCCCAGCGTGGGGGACCAACATGGGGCGCCATGGAGGGCTGCAGCCTGGGGGGAGGCAGCGGGGGGAGGAGGAGGCTGAGGGGGAGGAGGAGGAGGGGATGGAGGAGAGAGAGGAGGGAGGGGGGGGGGGGGGGGGGGATGGGGATGGCCGGCCGGCGACAGCGTCGGCAGTGCTGGAAGCTGCACTGGTGTGGCGGGGGGATTTTGGGGAGGGAGGGGCGGCCGAGCGGATAAGGCGACGTTTTTTTTTTTTTATTTTTTTCCTTTGCCGATTGCCAGACATGTGACTTGATCGCAAAAATCTATTATTTTTTTTCAAAAATTATTTTTTTAATTTTTTAAAAATACTTTACCTATCGCTCGCTCTGCCCCTGGCGATCGGCAAAGGTTATTTTGATTTTTTCTCAGAAATTTTTGCCGAACGCCATCCTCCCAGCGATCGGCAAAAGGCTCTTTGCGCTAATCGCCACTAATGGCGATCAAAAAATTAATTTTTTTTTCGATTTTCGATCCCAGTTTTTGTGTTGCCTTGCTCTGATAAGTACATGATATATTCAAGTTTGGGGTCATTTGATTTATTTTGCTATATTCCATTGATTTTTTTACATTTCTTTGATTTTTTTGGCTAAACTCAGATTTGAGCTGCGGTACATGAAATAATGGAATCCGGTGATTTAGAAAATGATATTCATGATGTTTGGAGCATGTTGAGGCCGTGTCACAGGCCTCGCGTGAAATTCGACCGTGTTGGTGTCGGAAGTTTTTAGAAACCCACCAGCGTGAAAATGTTTTTAAATTTTATAAAATCGAAGCTTGGTCAAAAATGGCGAAACTTCACGGCGTGTCTTGTCATCATACCGACACCAGGCTGTGGTAAAAATTTGAGAAAGTTTGAGCAAGTGGCGGCGTCGGGTGGCTAAAACACGGACACGGCCTCAACATGCTCCAAACATCATGAATATCATTTTCAATCGCCGGATTCCATTATTTCATGTACCGCAGCTTCAAACTCGAGCCGCTTTCGAAAAAATCAAAGAAACAAAAAATCTACTAATATAGCAAAATAAATCAAAATGATCCCAAACTTGAATATATCATGTACTCATCGATCAAGGCAACACAAAAACTCGGGATCGAAAATCAAAAAATAAAAATTTTTGCCGAACGCTGTGGAGGATGGCGATTGGCAAAAGTCACGCTTTTGCCGAGTGACGGAGTGGCGTCGGCAAAGGTGGTGGTGTGGATGGCGTCAACCATGGTTTCCGCCTTTTTGCCGATTGCAATTCTTTGCCAACCGCCTGGCAGTCGGCAAAGCCAGCGATCGGCAAATCTGCTTTGCCATTGCAGGAAATTCCAGTTGGCAAAGGGACCTCTTTGCCGAGTGTCGAAAAAAAACAGTTGGCAAAGAAAATTGCAGTCGGCAAAGAGTCAGTTTCCTGTAGTGTATGTGGTACAATAAGAGCACTAGAGTCTAAAATTAACACATGAATAAAATTAAATTTATATTTTAATAATATAGTAGCTAAATGTTCAATTCACATAAACGAGTCTTTACGTCCTAATAACACTGTGTTTATTTTGTATTATTTACACGCAGCCGTCCGGTATTGGTATCACAGAACTCGTTAGGCAACTTGGACAGCGTCGTGTGATCCCGCTGTGGGGGGACAAGGGTGATGACACCAGAAGTCTTGTGAGAGATGTGTACGATGCCATACGAAAAAAGACTGCAGAATTCAAGGGGGTAATAAATTTTAAAAAATGCTGGTGGGTAAATGTTCCCAGTCCATTCAGTTTGGAAGGCTTTTATCGGCGCTTGTCCGGTTATGTCCGTCATGGGTATGAAAATCCCGAAAGCTACTTTGCTGGACAATGGAGCAAGGAAGTGTGTGAGAACCGCTACCTTTTCGTTATTGAGGGCCTGCGGTCCAAAGAGGATTGGGATTTGATAAAAGATAAACTCGTGCCTGAGAACACTATGAGCTGTATCGTCATCATTGCAAATGAAGAAGCGGTGGCCAAATATATTGCAGATGAAGATAATTCGTCGAGGAAGGACTACGAAGAACAGGAAGAAGCCAACAACGCTGCCATTATTGGTCCATTATTCGCACAAAAGGTATGTATATATATTGCTCTCCTTTTAATTTCGCAATCTTCAATTCTAGTACTACTATATACTCCCTCCATACTAAAAAATAAAATCGTTTTAGATAAGGCTTGGTTCAAACATTGAGAATATAAATCATGAATAACTTTTAAATTGTTGAGTTTAGAAATATGAAAACCATATGTATAGATTTGTCTTGAAAAATACTTTCACAAAAATTTACATATATCACTTTTTGATAAATATCTTTATAAAAATAAGTAGTCAAAATTATGCTTTGGATACCGTGTCGTTGTCCAAAACGACTTCATTTTTTAGTATGGAGGGAGTACTACTCCCTCCGTTCTAATTTATAAATCACTTTGACTTTTTTTTATGCATCGATTTTGCTATGTATCTATAGACATATTGTTATATCTAAATACATAGCAAAGTGAATGTAACTAAAAAGTCAAAGCGACTTATAATTTGGAACGGAGGGACTAGTAATACATTACTAGTAATACAATAACAACGTTTTACATAAGTACTCGTATATGAACAGGTGGGTCATACATACTTTGTATCTTTAGAAAACAACATCAGAATACATACATTGTGCAAAAAAAAAAATGTATAACAAATACAAATTTTAGTTACTAGGTAAGTCAATTGTATACTATAAACAACATAACACAGCTAATGTCATTTTTTTTCTTCCAACGTAGCTGAAAACTAAACAGAAAGTAAATAATATATACCATGTATAAGCCATATGGGTGCACTGGAGTCAAATTTACTGAGAAACTAGAACATCCTGTCTACCAGTATAAGGAATATTTGAGATATTAGAGCGTCTTGCTTAACAAAAAGGGGTATATAATCTAGAAATTTGGCACTACCTGCACAATAATTTCTAGCCTCTACTTATTGCGCTCTTTCGCTAAGAGGGTTTCCTTTCTCTAGTCATAATTTTCTTATAATTTGGGTGGACGTACTATTAAAAATATTACTCCCCCCATTCGAAATTATTGAGATGGAGGGAGTAAGGCGTTTCAATTTTCTTGGAGAGTCAAAGCATCTCAAGTTTGACCAAAACTATTGAGAGAATTAGAAAGATTTATGATATCAAATAGGTGTACTATGAAAATATAATTAATAAAGAATCCAATGATACTTATTTTTTACAATAAATATTATTATTTATTATAAATAAATTTGGTCAAACTTGAGATGCTTTGACTATTCAAGGAAGTTGGAATGATGTATAATTTGGGATGTAGGGAGTAGATTTTAGTTGATTAACAAGTAATCTAAGTAAAAATATTAATTCAGTTGTTTATATTTAAAAAGTTCCTAATCTATATTTTTATCTCGATCTAATTTATAGTTTATTAGAGTTTTTTTTTGAATGAGAGAGTATTTTTTTAATATGTATGAAAGACCAAGACTCATGGCCCTGTTCGTTTCGCTGAAAAAACAAGCCGAAACACTGTTCCGGCTGATTTGTTGTGAGAGAAAAACACTGTTCCGGCTGAAAAAACAAGCTGAAAAATACGGATTATAAGACAAGCGAATAGGGCCACAAGTTACTCTTATACATATAGTTCATCTGTATCTAGTGGTGTTGTTGTTATACAGTTCGTTTCTCTACATGTATTTTTCTTATAAACGGGTGACACTAATTGCCAATCGGTAGTCATTCTCTAGTTTAAATTACTTGTTCAATGTCTCTCGCGTACGTGCAGGAGGAATATTATTCTTGGGGCCACGACCGTTTCCGCGGCCATGGTTGTTCTCGTAGAATTGACGAGGCATTGTTCCAGTTCGAGCCATTTATTACACCAGATCAAGACATAGAATTGGTCACGGAGATTATTGTTGGTCACGTCTTCTCTTGTGGAGTGAAAGCGGTGTGGGGGGCCACTGGTGTTGGGAAATCAGCTCTTGTCAGATTGACCTACTATACAATGATGGCTGGCTCATTGGAATTGTTAAAAGAAGCTGAGTTTCCTAGTATTTGACGACAAGGCGCTCCAGTTTGAAAGGTTCGGGTGGGTCGACGTGCCTGAGCCGTTTGATCTGGCCGAATTCTCACGCCGATTACTTCTTGATTTCCACTCAGATGATCCTGGGAAAATGGAGAAAACAGCTGTTGGTATCATTCAAGGACATAACCCCATTCAACAGTGTTACGAAATCATGCGTAGGCACAGGTGCCTAGTGGTTATTGATGGTCTGCGGTCCACACGTGACTGGGACTCCATCGAACAAGCCCTCTGGTGCCACCATCATCCAGAGGCCAGTATTCTTGTCATCACAACTGACGAGAGTGTCGCAAAACATTGCGTCGCTAAAGACGACTTGAGCTGTGAAAGAATCATCCCTATGAGAGCTCTAGATGACAAATCAGCTCTCGAGCTCTTCATAAAGGTGTGTTCACTTATTACTGTCTCCTCTCAAATAGTAGATATATATTTCCATGCATGCTCTAGTACCAGCAAACTTAATTAGCTTATTCCGTTTGTATGCATATCGATCAGTTGGTGTACCAGCAGTCTTAAGAGAGTATCCATTTTTCTACCTCTCACGAGGGAGTATCTAACTAATAATGTTACTGCTTTAATATGCCACATAAATTTGCAGTTTCAATGCACTCCAACTCCCATAAACGACCAACTGTGCGGGGGCATATATTATTCCTCCACCCAATTGGCCGTTGCAATACTATGCCGGTCCAGCATGTGTCTTTTTGTTATCCTCCGACCATCTGGTTAGTCTTAGTCCAGCCACTGGAAATAGCTATTGCAACTAGGCCCTTGTTGATTGTGCGGTGCTTTTGCATTTGTTCAGTGCATGCTCTTCTTTATCTCACCGTAATATATTGTCTGGTCCATTGAACACTCCACATTCGTCAATACCAACGCCCATCTTCTGTGGATCGTCCACCTTTCTAGCTCTAGGCAGTGGGCTGAGCACAATCGCTTATGTAGGTTGCATGCATTAAAACTACATCATTGTCCAGTGGAAAAAGTCCTTCCGACCTCTCTCAACTTTTGCAGTGATTCAATTTACCTCCCTCGCTTATAGAACCGGTTTTTTTTTGACCCCTCAACTTTTAAAACCATTTGTTTTTGCACCCTAGGCAGTTTTAGTAGTGGCATTGTTGACGTGGCACCACGTTAGAGGAAGGTAATTGGACAAAATATCTAAAAAGATAAATGAAATAAGTTTTTAAAAAATTCTCAAAATATTTTTATATGAAAAATCATAAAATTTGGTTTACTCATAGAAATTTTATTTTAGCTTGGAAAATTATGAAACTAGTTTTATGTCTTTTTAAAATCATGCTTTATATAATGGTGCCTAGCTTGCATGCAACCTTCGTTTAATATATTTAATTAAATTTTATAAACTATTGAATTTAATTATGTTTTAATACAGTGAATTATGGCATCTAGATTTCCCTGCCACACTAGGCTCCTTCATTGTTTTCAAATTAATTAAATCGAATAGTTTGTAAAACTTAACGAAATATATTAAACAAAGGATGCATGCAACCATATCTATGGCAGGGTGCATGCAGCAATGCAAGCAAACACAAGTACTTTGAAAAATTATCTATGGCAAGGGACCAGTGTCCACTACGTTCCTAATGATGCTCTTCTAGTGCTTCTATGTACACTACAACAAACCTTTTAATCCATGACGGATTCTTGGTGCACAATCTGTGAGGTCATATATTTTTGTCAGGGATCTGCACCAGCGGATACCTAGCCCGCTAACTCAGTGATGCTTTTATATGAACCATCACAATCAATGAGTTTAAATTCGTCGTACTCTAGTTAGCTCAAAACAATAGGCCCGCCATCATATATTTCATGTTAAGGGAAATATATTGTATTAAAAAAATGTGATTCAAAAATGAATCGAACCCAAAAGCTCATATATAGAAATAGAAAAACCAAACATGCCATACCACTTAGCTACCCCTTCATATGTTATAGAATTAGGAACTAAATAATTTTATTACTTTACTAAATGTACATGATGTGTATGGTAAAACTAAAAAAATATTCTGCTTTGTACAGGATGCATATCGAAAAACAAAAAAAATTCTTCTTCGTAATAGAGTTTGGGACTAAATATTTTTTTGTAGTCTTTGTAATAGAATTTGGAGAAGGGCGGGCCTGGTGCAAGCGGTAGAGTCTTACCGCCTGTGACCGGAAGGTCCCGGGTTCGAGTCGCGGTCTCCTCGCATTGCACAGACGAGGGTAAGGCTTGCCACTGACAGCCTTCTCCAGACCCCGCACACAGCAGGAGCTCTCTGTGTAATAGAATTTGGAACTAAATGTGTCTCCACAAGGGTTTGGACGCCGTGGAGGTTTAAATAATAATGCTTTGCATATGATGCGTATGAAAAACAAAAAAAAAATCTCTGTATTAATAGAATTTGGAACTAAATATTTTTTGTAGTCTTTGTAATAGAGTTTGGAACTAAATGTGTCTCCAAAAGGGTTTTAATGGCACGGATGCTTAAATAATAAAAAATCGTTAATAAGGGTTCGAACCCAACACCTCGTCTGGTGACTAAAACCAGCATGCATTACAAACTGCGCTACCTGTTGAATTATGAAAGTCCGGCCCATCAAATTCATCTCAATATAATTGATAACAAGAGCTTGTACTTACAATTTCAAGCTAGGCACCATAAGATAGAACATGATTTTAGAAAAAAAAAAAAACTAGTTTCATAATTTTCCATGCTAAAACAAAATTTCTATGAATTTTCTAATAGTAAACCAAATTTTATGATTTTAATTGCTTTATTTTCAATGTAAAATTATTTGGATAATTTTTAAGAACTTATTTTTATGAATTATATATATATATATATATTTAAAATATTTCTAGTCTAATTTACCTCCCTCTGATGTGGCGCCACATCGGCAAAACCACCACCAAAGCCGTTCAAAGTGCAAAACCAAAAGGTTTTAAAAAGTGAGGGGTAAAAAATACGATTATGAAATGAGTGATCTAAATCAGACGATCGCAAAAGTTGAGTGGGTCGAAAGGATTCTTTACATCCGGATTAAAAAAGGATTTTATTTGTAACTTTCTCCTCAATCAATCTGTAATAAGTTTGATGAAATTTATAGAAAAGACTTCCAATATTTGTGAGACTGAATCACTATATTTCGAACACTATTACTTGGTGCAACAGATATTTACACTCTCCTCTATAACGTATTTTTGAGATAAAACTAAATTCAGATGAAAAACACAGACAACAACTACACCGCTAAACATCAAAGACCATATTCTGTGTGGTTTCATTTTGAAAAGAAATGAAATGAGGGCAAGTGCCCTTTGTTCGAAAAAAAATGTTTTAAATGAGTCACTCATGGTTTGTTTTCTCCCTAGGACCACAACTTTGCAAAATGAAGGTAGGAAACCCCCAAAACTCCGAAACACCCACCCGTGGGCCGTGGTTTGTTTTCTTTTTTCTTTTGGTTAAACTTGAGATGCTTTGACTCTCCAAGAAAGTTGAAATGACTTATAATTTGAAATGGAGGGAGTACCACTTTGTCGAGGAATCCATTGCCCCCATCTCCTTATTCTTCCCCTGACTCTCTCAATAATTAGCTTCTCTTTACCTTCTATCTCTGCAGCCCATTGTCGGATAACGGACAGGGAGCCCATGTACGTTTTCAGAAAATAATAGAGCCTTCAATTGATAGTTTTTTTCCCGGTGTTTAGCATACTATTTCTGACATTCCAGACAAGCCAAATGAGCATTAAGAGTCTAGCATTGTTAGTAGTATATTATTTAGTGTTATCCGAAATTGTAAACGGTAAACAGTCAGTCACCTGCCGTTTAGCCCATTATTCGGGCAAAACATGTGTTTAAACGGGAAAAACGGTCGTTTAAACGGTCAAAACAACCGATTAAACAGAAATGGTGTAGCGTTTAAACGGTGTGTAAACGGGCTAAACGACCTTTTACGCGAACAGTGATATTATTATTTATCTTCTTTCAATCAATTTGTTTGTGTTCTTTTCTACAGTTCAATAGACCTGAGAATGCTTATGTTCAGTTGAGTCCATTGCTAAATCTTGAAACAGATTTTAGTGATGAATTCAGCTGAAATGCTTATAATAGCTTAAACTATGGAGTTAGCATTATTTGAAATTGAATTTTTGTACATGTTTTAGAAATTGACAAACTTATTTCTGAATGCAGGTTGCTGAGAAGCAGAAAAACGAATCCATTACTGAGAAAAATTTGAAGCATGCAGAACGCATCGTGCCCAAGTGTGGTGGACTTCCCAAAATAATAGATGCAGTGGCCAGATCCCCTTGCTCATTCTGGGAGAACATAAATAGTGACCTTGTGACTAAGTTGAAGAATGACCCAAAATTGAGGGGTGTTTTATCATGGATGCATTCCTATATTGATGGTCGTTCAGATTCAGTAAAGCCATGCATCTTCTATCTGTCAGTCTTTCCTACAAACTACAAAATCAGGAAGGCTCACTTGCTGAGGCGATGGATCGCAGAGGGTTACTGTAGAGACACAACTGGCTCTAGTGCGAAGGAGAATGCTGAAAGGCTCTTTGATGAGCTTTTTTCCCGGGACATAATCCAGACACTACCAAGCATGCCAGTGTGCCAAATCAGTGGGTTCTTCCGTGAATACATCATCTCGCAGCCAATGGAAGATAATCTTGTATTTGTACTGGAAGGACATCGTAAACCAAACTCACAACGCACAGTACAACACCTCACCATAATGGAAGACTGGGAGAGGGAGAAGCATGTGTTTGAGAGCATCGATGTATCACGGCTGCGGTCTTTGACAGTGTACGGGAAGTGGAAACCATTCTTCATCTCTGACAAGATGAAGCGGATCCGAGTGCTAGATTTAGAGGGCACGTCTGGTGTAGAAGATTGTTGCCTTAAGCATATCTTTGAGATTCTGCTGAGTCTCAAGTTCATCTGTCTAAGAGGATGCAAAAGCATTACTTGTTTGCCAAAAACAATGGGTGGCCTTAGGCAGCTGGAGAGTCTAGATGTCAGCGGCACCTCCATAGTCACACTGCCACGGGCAATCATTAAGCTGCAGAAGATTCAATACATTCGGGCTGGCTGTAAGTTTTTGCCAGATGAAGACTGTACATCAGCAGCATCAGAAGTTGGTGGACAAAAGAAGTTGGTGGGCTGCTGCTGGACATCCACCAAATCGTCGCAAGGCAGTGATGATGCGGTTGGAAGCCAGCAGCCATCAGGGACAACAGCAACACCTGAAGCTGAAGGTAGTGATGGCGGCCATCAGGGACAACACCAACACCACAAGCAACGACATCAGAAGATAAAGAAGATGGGCCGCCGCTGGACATCCAGACTGTCGTCCTGCAGTTGGTTCGCTCATAATAATATTAATGGTGGTGTGGAGGTTCCTGTGGGGATTGAGGACATGCCTTCCTTGCATACTCTTGGTACTGTGAATATCAGCAGAGGAGGTGGAAAGGACTTTCTGACCATGCTTAAGCTCAAAACAACACTTCCCCAACTGTTCAAGCTCAGCGTGTGTGGCATTAATAAGGAAAACTGGAAGGATTTATGTGATGCCCTCTCGGCTCATGATCATCTTGAATCATTGTCACTGGGACTCGACAATGATTTCACGGAAGATATCTACTTCGGCAATCTACCTAAGGCCCTGAAGAGCTTTAAGGTATATGGGCATATTCACAGATTACCAGCCTGGATCAAGGATGGTCGTCTGGAGGCCAATCTCAAAAAGTTTGATATTGAGGCGATTATATCAAGACAAGAGTGCATGGATCAATTAGTGGAATCGTTGCCACATACAAAGAATGGTGGTATCAGTCGTCGTCTTTGTATTAAGCCGACTCGACAAGTAAGAGAGCTAGAATTCAGGAATGTCATGAATGATGATATCAGTCGACCACAGGTTCTCAAGATTGATTGCAGCTCCGCGTTAGAGGTAGCTTTCCAAACAAACAGCATAGCAACAGAGGTTAATGTGCTGATAATCCATTGCTATAAAGGATCGGATTTCCGGATTTCTGTTAGTGGGCTTAAGTATCTAGATTACCTCGAGACTGTGTGGCTTAAGGGTTTGATGAAAAAGCAGACTACGTGGTGCACTTGAAGAAACAAATTGCCGCACATCCACGCAAACCTGTCTTCAAGTTTGAGAAACTAAACTCTGCATAATCATTATTATCTCGCTCCACCGCCGGTGTGCTTGCACTACTATATAATATATTTTCCCATTCAACGTTGTTGTAACACATGCTTTATTTCTTGCTTTTTTAATTTCTCTGTACGTGCCATATATACATTCATCTTTAATTTATTAGTATACGGGCCCATGCATGTTCTGTAATCTTAATTTCTGCATTGACAGAACAAAATTAAATAAAGCTACGTGTTTGATGGATTTCTGACGATTTATTTAAGATCCAATACACTAGTAGAGAACGTACTTTTAGTTTTTGGCTTTAGTCCCGGCCGAAATTTGGCCCGGGAGTAATAGTAGATTTAGTCCTGGTTGAAACCACCAACCGGGACTACAAGTCCCTGTCCAACGGATAGTGCAGCAGGCTTTTGCAGCAGGGATCTTTAGTCTCGGTCTGTGGTTCAAACCGAGACTAAATGTCGCTTTTCAATCCCGGTTGGAACCACTAACCGGAACCGAAGGTCCCGCTGGCTTTTTATCCCGGGTTTTGGCTCCAACCGAGACTAGAGGTTGATCCTTTAGTCCCGCTAGGCTCCACCAACCGGGACTAAAGGTCTCCACTATATATACCCGCTTCCAGTGTCCCCAAGCCCGTGACACAGGTCAAATCTTTAGTCTTTGCTTGTGCGCGTGTGTTCATCCGTGTTCTTGCTTGGGGTGGGGGGGGGGCAAGTTCTTGCTCTTGGGGGGGCAAGTTATTGCTCTCGTCCGCCGGCTTCATCTTCAATCTTCTAAAGGTTAGCAACTTCATCTTCTAATCTTTCATTGCTAATAATGTAGATCATTTCTTGGTTTAGTAATAAGCATAGAAATATGAGGTTTTTTAATTATGAATAATAATGGTGGATTTTATTTTTATTTATACATCATTTCTACATAACCTTAAACATTTATAGTTTTCTAGATCTTTGTTAGCAACATTATTTCTTGATGAGAGTTAATAATCATTAAAAAATTATGTGCAAAATGTTTATGTTTACTTGGCATGCCCATATATATATTGATGATTTATTTTTTATATGTTTCTCTAATATATATTGTTGCATAGAATATTTATATGGGGGTTGTATATTTATTGGGATGGTTTTTCAGTTTTTTTAGTTATAATGAATGGTGGCGGACTTCCCCAACCATAGGACGCGTCACCCAGACCCATCAATACTATGGAATATTTTAAGTTTTGCGTGCTAATATAACTTTTTTATATATACATTCATTCAAAATATGATTGTTGCATATGTCAGACTATAAAACGGGTCAAGTGGCTGGAATCAACACTATGGCTACTCGGGATGTGGGACATCTTTGAGACGACGACAAGTGTGATCGTGAATGATGAAGGAAGCGAGTTATGGACATGTAGTCTCGCCTTCGACGTCCCCATTAGGTACAATAATGAGGTGCGCAAAGACATCGTGCAGACTAGATGACAGATGCCGACCAAGACAGGCGCCCAGATCGATGCCATGCTGCTTTCTTTGCAGGCGATTGAGCGAATTGGCTACCATATGCCTGATTTCTCATCCTTGAAGATAGAAGCTTTACGTGAGCATAGTCTGAACGTGCCGCGAGTAAGCTGGTCCATAAACCACAATAAGCTTCCAGACAAACCCGTTAGCTTTGTTAGTAAGCATTTGAAAGTGCATCTAGCCCTTTAGTGAGTTTTGGATGATTGAATGACAACACGATTAAAGGACTAACATGTTTGCTAAGTGTTAGACAGGAAGTTGATTATCTCACAGATACTTGATGAAATTGTATAAAGCCAAAATGATGTATTGTTGTATAAACAATCTAGTTCAAGCACAAGACAACAATGCAAATGGAATTCATGCAAATGCTTATTTATTGTGGGATTTCAATGATCTATGTGAAAGCAAGCACGATAAGAGTCAATTAATGAGACATAAGGGATTGCATATGGAATGGTCTCATATTTGAAGCTTGCTAAATTGAAATGAAAAAGATGACAATACATGAATGGATGATTCAACACAAGATGTGACTTGATGGCTTGAGATGGTGAAGATAGCAAGGAAAGGCTTCGAGGTACTAAGCAAGGGTGAAAGGGCAAGCGGACGGCTTGGCGGCGAAGAACCTAGCTAGGGTGAAGAAGGAAGTACTTGCATTTAGTTGAGGTACTAATCAAGCTATGATGGCCACTTTGTTTATGTGGAGGATCAAATCACTATTGGAATGTTTGATAGAAGTGACTTGATACTTTTGGAGTTATTCATATTTGATGAATGGAATCAAGTCACGTGCTCAAGATGGCTATGCTCAAGTGACAAGATCAATATTGACATGTTGGCACCCTCACTTGATGAAGATTGAAAGACATGGCATCAATTTCAAAGAAGATCAACTCAAAAGGTTTAATTTCGTTTTTCTTTTGATCTTGAGTTAATAGGTATGCCGTACTATTAAGAGGGATGCAAGTTTAGGTGGTATGAGGAAGATAGAGTGCTCAAGCATAATAATTAAATCAAAAGAGAGACACTCTAGCACTTCACGAGCACATAGAATAATTTTTCAGGATCGTCGGTGTCGGAAGTCCCGACGAAGCCGGAACTCCCGACGGTCGGAAGTCATGACTCTTGCGGAAGTCTTGACTCGATCCACACTGCTTGCAGTGATCGTGGTCGTCGGAAGTCCCGACGTGTCGGAACTCCGGCGATCGGAAGTCCCGGACGAAGCCGGAACTCCGGCGATCGGAAGTCATGACTCTTGCCGGAAGTCGACTCCCGATCCTGACTGCGGTGATCGTGGTCGTCGGAAGTCCCGGCGTGTGTCGGAACTCCGGCGATCGGAAGTCCGACCCAAGCCGGAGTCCGGCATCGATGGTTCTCTTGACTGCTTGATCGTGTGCTCGTCGGAAGTCCCGACGTTCGTCGGAAGTTCCGACAGTCGGAAGTCCCCGACGTTCTTCGGAAGTTCCGACGTTGGCTGTCTCGAGTGGACTTTGACCTCGCATGAACAGTGTTTTCTTCATACGTCGGAAGTCCCGAGATCTGCGTCGGAACTCCGGACGTAGATCTGAACGGTTAGATTTTGCCTTTGTGTATATATACCCCTCTCCTTGTTTCTAACCGTTGGCCCACTCATTTCATTGCGACAAACACTCGGCCAAACAGCCCCCAAGCATTCTAGGCTCCCCTCTCTTCACTCCCTTGCTTCCAACTTCGATTCCCAAAGGGTTTGAGTGATTGGAGAGTGGATTGAGTGAGAAAAACACTTTGAGCAAGCTTGAGCACTTGATTTCTTCGTCAAGCCGGTTTGATTTGCATTTGTTACTCTTGGGGATTTTCCCCTAGCCGGCTAGGCATCGCCCAAGAGCTTCCATCTTGTGGAAGAGCCTTGGGAAGTTTGTATTACCCTTGTTTTCTAGTGAAGAAACTCAAGTGACCTTTGTGGTATCCTTGAGTGAGGCAAGGAGGTGGAAGAGACTCCGACCAAAGTGGTCACCTCAACAACGAGGACGTAGGAGCTCCTTTGTGGGGCTGCCGAACCTCGGGATAAATTCTTGTCTCCCGCGTGCTTGTTGTTGTTGTGATTTGCTCGAAATTACTTGTATTTGGTTGTCTCCCTCTCTCTAGCTATTTCTTAGGGTTTGGGACTCGATCTACGGATTGGTGGCTTATCAACGTCAAGAGAGTGACCCAACACCTTACCTTACCACTAGGAAGTGGGTTTGTAAGTTATCGGCATCACAAAGTTCATTTTAGCACTTGTAGTTCATTTCCGTAGGGAAGTGAAATCTTGACAGCTTTGCGTTGGAAGTTCTGACTCAAACTGTTGGGACTTCTGACACGTCGGAAGTTCTGACCCAATCGTCGGGACTTCCGACACGTCGGAAGTTCTGACCCAAACGTCGGGACTTCCGACATTAACAGACTAGTGCATTTTGATTCAACTCTTTGGTTGCCGCTGTTTGGCTCCCTAGGTTTATCTAGTATCTTTTATATACTTTGTGGCTAACTTGTGAGGGGTGGTATTACTCTGATTTGGAGTTTCCATTTTGGAAACTCCTATTACTAATCGTTTCCGCTTTTAAAGGTGTTGATTTTTGAACGCCTATTCACCCCCTCTAGGCAACATCCTAGGTCCTTTCAATTGGTATCGAGGCGAGGTTCTCACCTAAAGCTTCACCGCCGTGAGAAAAGGATGTCGACGCCTCATCGAGTTGGAGCCGGTGCTTCTCCAAAATAATGGTTCAAACTTTCTACCTTGGTCAATTCATGTTCTCAATGCTTTTAGAGATATTAGTCCTCTTGTTGAGCATATTGTGTTTGCAAGCATACCTCTTCCTATAGTTGATTGGAGCAACTATAAGAATTTATCAAAAGAGGAAGAGATATGCGTGCAACTCAATGCTCAAGCTATTAATATCATTTTGAGTACATTGAGTGCAGAGAGGTTCAAGATGAGGCAATATTCAATGGACAACCACCTCGGAGAGTGCTCATCTCATTTGGATCAAACTCATTGAGTTATATGGAAAATCCAAATGCGATGATGCACTTGAGGTCGAGTCAATGGAAAATATGTCCATTATGTCTTCATGCAGCAAAGAAGCCTCACAAGACCTCAAGAGCTACCGAGCGGAGCAAGAGGCTCAAGCCGGTGGTGGCCAAGTGATGAATCAACCTCAGTATCTCATGATACTCATCACTTGTGTCTCATGGCCAAGAAAAGCAAGAAGAAGGCTAGCAAGAAAGATCAAGCCAAGGAGATAGCACGAGTAGATGATCAAGAAGAGAGTGATATTGAAATTGAAGATAGCTACACTCTTGATCATCTAAGCAACAAAGACAAGCTCATTCTCATGAAGCTAGTTGAGAAGAATGATGAGCTAGAGGAAGAGAATGAGAAACAAGAGCAATCACTTCAAAATCAAGAAAAGTTTCTCA